GAGATACCACATAAAAGCAGGTAACAAGGAGTGAATTATTGGTACATGAAGCGACACAAACAGAAATTTAAGTCTTGTTTTGTCTCCCTTTTCCATCATTAAGGTTTAAAGCAGGAGCAGACTGTAGCCTAGCACAGATTAATTCGAGTCTGATTCTCTCCTTCCTTTCTCCAAGCAGGGAAAGCACATGCATGTGGCAGAGAATACATTACTAATAACTCCTAAAATAAGTACCAGGATATTAGGTTTTCAGCTGCCTATAAAATTGATACACTGTGCCTGTCCTATTCCAAGCGCATGTTCTAAAATTACGTCTGTGTCTGAATTATAAGCAAAAGCTTTTATCAGAAGCCTTTACAGTTTGGTATCTCACTTCCCAAAGCTCCCTTTAGCAGTCAGATGAGGAAATACAGCTTCGCTGGGGGAAGGAGCACATCATCCCCACGACTCCCCTGCTGCTCGAAATAAGCAACTGGGGTCTTCCGTTGAAGCATTAAGTGCAACAACATTTAAGAACTTGGAGATAATTAGCAATTTCAGCAATAATTGCTACTCCTGGCCAAGCGCGGTTCAGGCAGGCAGCGGCTGCTGGAGGGCTGGTCTGCCCCGCGCAGCGTGGCCCCCGAGGGCTGCTACGACACAGCCGCTCAGGGCCACCACGAAGGGGAAGGTGACATTTATTCCTTTGAGATTTTAAGCAATTCAGACACCACGCAAGCAATAACTAATGAACAAGCCAAGCGATGGGTTGCCTGCAAAGCCACTGCCTTCCCAACACCAGTGAGGCAGCTGTAGCACCTTTACTACGTTTATTAGTACAGGAACATGTTTAAGTGGTAGCATAGCTGCAAGTGATGAAATTTAAGGCATAGGGCAAGACATAAGGCAATAAAAGATGGAATCACAGGTACAAGTGATCAAGGAGCTCTGTTAAATAGTGGCACAACTTATCTAGCTTACGCTTTGACCTTAGCTGCTGCCGTCCAGAGCAGATGCACAAGGGCACACCGACACAACCACGCGCTGACCAGGACCTCGCTCTTCACGGGCAACAGACAATTCAGGTGCAATTCAGTATCAACGGGGTACCAAGAGCTGGCAGCAGAGTGAAAAACAGCCATGCCAGCACATTGAGCCTGCACGAGACGCTGTGGGTTAGGCGGGCAGGCAGGGCTTCGCTCAGCCGGCAAGAGCCGCTCCGGGGCGCAGCTCGTCCGCACGCAGGGAGCAAGGGATGCTTCGCTTTGGCAGCTCGCTACTCTTAAATAGGAGGGTGAGCGGCAGAAAAGCGAGCACGAAAAATCAAACGAGAGTGATTAAGTACTTGTACAAAGTCATACAGCAGTTCTGGTTTTACAGCCCAAAATAGGCTCCAGGATACCTGCCAGTCAGGCTGCACTGTAATCACTTATGAACTATCAACGACATCCAAATATTTCCTCTAACAACTTAAGATAAACCAACCACACCTGTACCAATACAGAGCAACCTGCCTCAACCACAAAAACCACAGCAAAAAAGTTTGCCTTCAGCACAGGCATAAAAGCAGCCTCTCCGACAGAATAGGAAACAGCAGCTAGGTGGCAAATGCCAGTATTTAATTTTTGGAGAATACCCCAGTGGGCTGAAAAGCAGCCTGAGCTACCAGCGTGGATGACCTGCGGAGACTTCACGTGAGCAGCACTATTGGCTTTCCATTTGTATTTTCTGGATGGACACTCACTCAAACCTTACACGCAGAGCTCCACTCAGCCTGAAGCAGCAGCTTGTTGGCATCTTCACTGTCCGCCGCGCTCATCCTGGAGCTCTTCAGCCACCGCAAGCAGCGATAACTCTTACAAAGCTACGTTCTCCAAGAACTCCTTCCCAGAGGAGGCAGGTAACCCCGACGGCAGCACGTGCTGCTGCACAGGCTGTCCCCACGCAACACGGTCACCCCTGCGCCCGACCTCAGTGGAAACCAGCCTGGCCGGCGGCAAAGGCCATCGGAGCAGATGAGCTCTGCGTACTTTGGCTCCGTAGAGTTACCCTACTGAGAAGCTCACATCCTAAAAATGACAGCAGTGTTCTCCAAAATGAACGTGAATCAGGAGAGTTACAGCTTTTCAGTTAAATATTATCATTGTCCTTTTAATTAGGTTTGCTATTTTAATTCATTATACACCTATAGAATTTTAGGTCACATACACATCATGTTTATCACTGTTCTAAGCAGGACTAAAATTATTTCAGAAAATAAACCTCTTCTCAGGAGCACCCTGCAAATCTGACAGGCAGAAGGCTGAGCATCAGGAAAACATACACTATTACCACGTTACAGATTTAATTTCTCATCCAGAATAGCTGTATATTGCTGTCTATGGCCTCAAGACTCATTTTTGCTTTATAAATGCAAAGCACAACAGCAATAATTCTACCACAGACCATGAAGAAATCGATTTAGCAATTTGAACATAAATTAAGCAATGTTTTTTGATTCAGTAAACTTGTTCCTACGCAGATCAGAACAAGTATTACTGAAGGTCACTGACCCAATACCTGAGTATTTGCTTTGATGAAGTTTGCAGGAATTTTAGATCAGAGCATACTTCAAATTATTTGACCTGTGTATTAACCCTTTGCATGTTTTTAAAGTAATTTTAGTGATTGCTTAGGCGCTTTGCTATTTGCGATTCAACATTTAAAACGTGTGTTAATGGAGTTACATATTAATCAAACCATGTATTCGGTAATTAACAAACATTTCTCATGAATAAAGAACAGTGTGTCAGCGTAACCAACTGTCACCGGTTCCAAATCCACGAACTGTGAGAAACTGCAAATTCCAAAAATGAAGAACAGCTACAAACTCAGCATGCGAGATGAATTACAAATTAAAAAAAACAAATACAACTACAAAAGAATTTCAAGCGATTTTTATCCTAAAAAGATAACATGGCTAAGCTATTTTCTGAAAGGCAAAATAAATGTATTTCAAAAAAAACCCAGCCAAGTTCTCACAACTTCACTAACTTGCCTGAAAACCAGTCAGACCTTTCAGATTCATATTGGTGCCCGGTTCCACATTGTATAAATGTGGTATTTTAGGGAACAAGCTTTCTGTACAGTTACTTTTTCAAAAGTCTGCATTACAGGTGTTATATTGAAGCTATTTTAACTGCATACTTTGTACATGATAAACCAATATTGTAGACATTTATAACAAATGTGAAATCTGAACACACACCTCTCTAGCTTAGACCCTATCATTCACGCTTTATCAGGTAATAGGTACAATAGCTATTGTTTTTACAGCAAGATCAATTGAATGAATGTCTTTCAAGTAGTATAATAGTTCTATAGCTTATATTAAAATAAATCATTTCAGTAATGAATTTAATTCCTAGGAGCAACTTTTTTGAAAGTCAAAGCTAATATGCATTAGCGAGGAATGACTTCATTTTTTGAATGCAAAGCATGTAAAATACTTCATTATTTTTAATAAAAGGCAAAAGTGAGGCAACACAAGAAAAGTTTAACATTACAGTGCCAGCATATTACATCATTTTGTACAGCAAAAAAATACAAAACGAGTTGTGCAGGAAGAACAGATTTTTTTGGCCTTTACAGAAAGTGACACTTCAAGGAAAAAGCACATGAGAGCGAGCTAAGAATTGCAGAATCATCACCAACTCCAGTGATAACTATTTCCAAGTCCTGCTAAGCAGTGAATAGTATCTTTAAGAAAATGTCAAACTGTCTTATTGAAATAAGACACACAACTGTGGATATTTGTACATGGGAGGTGATCAGGAAAAATGGGATTCTCCCAGTATAACAGTATCCCGAGACTTAAACAGATGCAACTGCTGCATGATTCCATAAAGTGTTCATAACTAACCTGACACTAATTAATGCATCTACCCTTAAGTGTTCTGAGCAACAGCAGTCTGAGAAAAAATATAAAAATACTGAAATAACGTTTCTCTTTTCTCCACCCAGCCCCCCATTTTCAAGCATTTGAGCAACTATTATAGCAAGCGTACGATAATCAGGAATTAAATAACTAAAGTTGTTCCAGCATTCATGATTTTCTTCTTGTGAAAGTCAGTTCTGGTTTGTTTGCCTTGTTCCCATCTCAGATTTCCAGAAATGGAAGAACCAAGCTTACTCACATCCATACAGCAAGCTCACTAACAGCCTGGGCTGGAAGAGCTGCCATCCTTACCATGAGAGCCTGCAGAGAGCTGTTCAGAGGCCACATCTCTGCATACTCCACATCACCGCAGAGCAAGCCAACACCATCGCCTTCAGCAGCGACAACAGGTTCAGTTGCTCCACAACTCCCACAAGCCCAGGGCTTAGGCATGTAAGAGCTCATTGCAATCACGTATTAATGAACAAGGAGTCACACCTCCTGATCACAGCGTGCACAGAGTTCCTCTTTGGCTGTACCACGTTCATCATCACTCACTACAGCTAACACCATTCCCTTGTCCCCCTTTCAAATTGCTTTGCACTGCAGTGGTTTGACATCAGAAAGTCAACAGGTAGCAGGGAAATGCTCCGGGCAGTAACTCAGAACAATCTGTGGCATGGCTTTCCTTTTGTTAAGCAACAAAAAGACCTTTTCAGGTTTCACTTGAAGATCTAATGAGCCAAACAAAGAGCCAGAACAAAGACCGTTCATAAAATTTAGTTGTTCCCATCCCTGCAACTGTTCCCATTGGTCCTGGCAGCTCCAGGACAGCGTACGGTAAAGCCCCTGTGGGCAGAGATTGCCCCTCAACAGTCACTTAGAGGTACGATTTCACTTTTTGGCAATACACTAAAAAAGCGTAAACACTTTGTTTATCATCTCTACACAATCACTGTTTCTTCATCGACCTCCTCAGCAAGTGTTTAATACAAATACACGTAAGCCCTCACTTGTTTTCCCTTTTCACAGTATGAAAAGCCTGAACATAGCATAAAAATAGAAACAAAAAGTTGTAGCTGCAGCAGCTGCTGATTTACAGTACCTCTTGATGCAACCTCCCTGCATCCGAATACAGCCTTCTGCTCCTCTCCGACTCCATCCATCCTCTCGTGACCGACGGGAAAACCCCAAGCAATATGAGAGAACACCAAAAGCTTCTCGATTTCATCATTTCACGTCTGTTGAAGACAAGAGAACAGTCATAAAACATTATCATCTCAAAACAAAACGCAGCTGAGATCCACTAATGCGGCAGAAACTTCAGCCAAGAGCATATATCTATACTTAGTAATTGCCGATGGAGCTTTGCAGGCTCGCATGGCATAAGCAGTAAAACACTGATGTCCTATTTTGCACCCAGTGTACAGGCAATGAATTCCCACTTCTTGATAGTTTTAGGAGGTATTTGCCCCCAGACTGTTCTCCACTGGAGAGGCTGTTCCCAGTCTGCTCCTAAGCAGGACCTGCAGAAGCAGGGCTCCCTGCAACTTCTAAACCAACTACTGTAGCCACGCGCAAATCACATCAAATCAAAATTTTATAGCACTGTGGAAACCAAAGGGTGACTTTACCCCATCTGCAGACAACGTTAACAGCACAAGGTTCTTTCATACTCAAGGACTCGCACTCACTCATAACCTCAGCAGATCTTCAGGAAAGCCCAGACACTTGCAGCACTCACTTCTCTGATCACTGAAAGCTTGTGACAGAAAATATCCTTGTTCTCCTCCAATTCAGAGAACATATCTAACTGCTACAGTCACTTCTGCCCCACTTCAGCTAAAATCCATTCTGCAGGGCCAGAGAGCCTGGGGTGTTACAAATGAACCCCAAAAAGCAGGAACTGTCCTCCAGGTGCAGGCACCTGCCAGGTCAGCAGGCTCAGGGGAGGCCACTAAAACAGGCCACCTGTAAGGCATGACCCCAATTCTGGTCTGGAGAGGCCTGACACCATTTCTCCAAACCATGATCTGGATCAGCCCTTCCCAGGGCAGCACCAGAGGGAGAAGTTACTCCAAGCACGACTAGGGAGAACTGGTGCATGTTTTGCATAGGTGCCTAACCCCGGACGATCAGCCAGCCTCACCACGGGAGCGCTGCAAAACCGTACGGCTTCCACAGGACCCAAGAGCCGGGTATTCCAGCTTCTCTTTTTTGGCAACAGGACACCAGACTGTGCTATTACTTCTCAGAGTAAAAACAGTCTTCAGAACCAATGCTCTTTTTGCACCGTAGCTGAAGTTTGACCTTTCACAGCCGTTGCACAACATGTAACCCAGACTCATACCAACACATAACGATCACTTAATGAAGCAAGTGATGGTATTTCTATAGCATGCAACAGGCTACCGTTTGGTTTGAGCAACGTACATTAAGACAATTTACCTGCTATTGGCAAAATTAAGCCTAGCTGTATTAAGTCACTAACAATGACAGGACTCATTTTAATGTGTTTGCATACCATGCATTTGCTACAGGGCATATCCAGGCCTGGAGCAACACTTAATTTTGGAGCTGTAACCATTTACACCAGTGACAACTTGTCAGCCCCAAAGGCATACCATCAATAAAATAAATGCAGCTTATAGTCATTCCACACCACTCAGCGGAGTTAAGTCATCGCTATTTCCCACCATGAATTGAGCGCGCTTGGGATGAAATCAAAGTTTATTAGGCTTTCTAAATTCCAATTAGAAAGCTCAGATGTAATGTTACTGGGGCTACAAATAAATGTTTAATAAACCAAAGTCATTCTATCAATAAGCAACAAGTATAATGTTACATTATAAATTGCCCTTGCACAGCAACACTTTCATATTTTTATAGAGGTATTTTGTATGCTTTGTTGATATTATCACATCAAGAACAATTTTGCAATTCTACAGACCTCTGACTTATATGCTGTTTAAAATTACAATCTTAGAGCACAAACAGAAGACTAGTCAGTTTCATGTATAATTAGTAAATAACTAACTGCTAGAAAACACAATGACGCTCAGATTAGGTTGCAAACACTGATGAAACCAAGAAGGCAACCTCCACGCGCTAATAGCGCTAGCTGTTTTTTTTAATTGAATTTTTAAAGCATCCTTCTCCACTCAATTTAGAAATTGTTTGTTTTATTGCACACTGACAGCATGCAAGCCTCACAATAACTGAAGGGCATATTAATATCTATAACATACCTTAACAGCCCAAACCAAGCAACAGAGATGTACCGTAAACATAAAGCAAAGGTTAATTCTGAAATCAAGCAGCACTCCCGTTTCACTCGGCACTGTCCGTGGTACCTCAGCAGCGCTGCCTCACGCAGCCGGAGCCACAGCAGGCTCCCCGCAGCTAAGCAGCCCGTGCCTTGCAGAATCTGGTCTGCAGCAGCATCATGCAACGTATAATAATAACAATATAGTTACAGGATTGTGATCCAAAGTTCACTGAAGTCATCAGGAAGATTCAAACTGATTGCAATGGATTTGAACCACCACTGAACTCCAGCAGGTTTTACCAAGAGTTTCCTTTCCTCACTTGAAGCATGGGTATGCAGGCTATGAGCCTATATGGACACCTTTGCCCAGATAAATCAAAGCTTGCCTGCAGAGACGCAGCATCAAACAAGATGCTGCACATAAATTAGTGAACGAACAATGCGTGGCTAAAGAATAGTAGCAACCTAAAATCTGGGGAGGGAGGAAACCTGCCACACACCTGCTCTTAGCAATGTGCATGAGCAAGCAGAGACAGATTTTAATCCACTATGTAACACAGAAAATGACTGTAATGCAGATGATTAATAATAAATCTGATTTAAAAAGTAAACATAAGATCAGCGCATCACAAATACGTGCCGCATCTTCTCTGGCTTCAGGGGAATCGCTTCCAGAACAACTTTGGCTCTTAGGTTAAAAGAGACAGCATACAAAACCTGCTGCTGGCTCAAGCCTGCGGTTTCCTCCTCTGAACTAGAGCAGCATTACAACCTTGCTTGTAGCTCTCATGGCTTTACTGAGAAATACAACATAAGCACAGCAGCATCATGCTACGCAGTGTTATTTTGGGGGGGGGCATGCTGCCTCCTCTGCTTATGTAACAGGATTTTACACTGTGACCTGCAAGTGCTGCTTTATCATCCTAACTGCAGAACGCCCATCCTGAACTCAGATGCTTTTGTGCATGAACCAACATACAGCCAAATCCTCAACTTGCATAAAAATTGAGGAGGAATGACAGTAAGCACAAGTAAGCCCGAGACACAGGCACAGAGCTTAGCACCGCTCAAGCAGAAAGGCTCACCTTGACAAGACAGGGAACTAGCCACACTGGCCCTTTAAGGGGAGAAAGGCACAAATTGTTTTAAAGCACTTCCATGATGTGCCACATGAATAGGTTGCTACCGAGATCCCACAACTTCTTCCTCCACAACACAGAAGCTTTAAGAATTCAATTATGGTTACTATAATGAGATTAAACAATTTGCCAAAAGCAGTTACCGGTTTCATTTTCAGGGCTACTTAAATTGCAGCTTATTTTTAATAACAAAAAAATTAACGCTTCATAATAGCTGGAAATCATTAGAAACAAGATCCACATTAGAAAGAAAGATATGCAACTTAACAACATGAAGTCAGGACTGTTGCAAAAGGAAAGCACGAGGACCCAACCGCTACCGCACATAAATCAGCTCTATTAGCACCAGGTGAGAATCTGGTGCCAAGTTCCTCCAGCATCAGCTGCTCCAGTTGCTTTAGCCTTATCTGAACAGCATTTCCAGGGCCTCCAAAATAATTTCGGCATCCGCAATTTCTTGCGGACCGCTAGGAAAGCTACAAAACTAAGAAGGAAGCCCACGGTAACATAACCTTTTAGCACAGAATAACGAAGCCAAATGATCGTTTCCGTTATCTACGGCACCTTAGCTCAATACCTAAAGTTCTGACGAATCAAGAGCTCACTGGAAACAGCTGCAACGTTCAAGTTCAAATCAGACACTTCACTGGAGAGCAGAAGCAGCTGAGCGAGTTCCAGGACAGAACACTCCGGACTGAGAAAATCATTTATTCCCGAAATCCCTCACGACGCTTCGATGTTCGCCGACAAGTCTGGGGCTCGGCCGAGCGGGGGTGAAGCCCCCGAGCGCTGCTGCGCAGGGCTCCCCCC